TGTCAAAGATACGGTCTGTGGGCTAGATCTGGCCTGTCGAGCCCTATGATTTGACCTGTGAGTCTTGGACTAACCCAAGGTGACACACACAGCATGTGCCAGCTCTGCATGTGGCACGTGGAGGTGGTCTGGCATGTGCCATGCAAAGCTAGACCCAAGACCATGAACACTGCATGTAGCATAGGGGGGCAATCCAGGGTATTGTACTGTATATGGTACCTGAGCCAGACCAGCTGTGTGCACTGGCCCCAGGGCTGGTCTGGATTGGGCCCACAGACATTTCCTGAGTGCCAGAGTCAGCGCACAGGACCAGTCTGGTATACACACCACATGTGGCACTCACCCCATGCTAAGTCCACATGTGAGCCCCGTGCTGAGGCTGACACACGTGCAGATTTGGTGCAAGGCATACACTACATGAGGTGCCCACACCAGACTGGCCCTGTACACAGGCTCCAGTACATGCGGCTGGTCTGTGAACCCCACAGGGCCAGAGCAGTTTGACACTATTGCTGCTGAGGAAAGACAACAGCTCTCTCTATATCTACAACCTCTACAGAAATTGCATCTTGAACCTTTTGCCTATGTACTTTAAGAAGGTAGAAAACTTTTGACATCAAATGTTCTAGTCTTCAGGATTATAGTTGTTTCAGAAGTTTCCACTGCAAGTTTACAGCAGCACAAAAAAATTAAGATGTAAAATATTATAAATACCTAACATCAGAAATAAAGAATATTTGTTAAAGTGGATCCTATTTATTAACTCTCTCACTCAGTTCCTATTCCAGAACAGCATATATCATTTTGCCAGCAGAGAATGTTTCTCTCTCACCATCTTTCGGGTGATCCACATTATCCTTCAGAGAATGAGCTTCTGCCTTTACAAAAGAAGATTTAAGTTCCACAGAGGTGCATGCCAGAGTGGACATTTGTGCCTGTAACAGGGGGCTTCCACAGGGCTGATCCGTTGTTGGTAGGCCCACCTGTTTCTATGGGCAACTGCCCACCTCCTCGTCTGCCATGCCTTGATGATATATAATTATGATATTAATTAGGCAGGAGGCTGCCCAATTCTTGTCCTGATGCCAAGGGGTGCCATCTGTGACTCCGTTCCTCCCCTACACCACAGCCCAAGCCTCGCAGATGGTATCCACAGATCTTAACATCACCAGCCCCACACTGGGCCCCCTAATCCTCCAATGTAGACCCCAACTAGATCTCTCTGATCAGGAGGCCTACTCCACCCTCATACTGGGCTACCTAGCTCCCCACACTGGGCCCCCTAATCCTCCGATCTAGACCCCAACTAGATCCCTCCAATTAGGAGGCCTACTCCACCCTCATACTGGGCTACCTAGCTCCCTGAACTCTTCTCCCTATCAGGAGTCAACAGATAAAGTGACCCCCGCCAGATTATTGTACCAAAAAAGGTTAAGTGACACAACCATCTGTAACTGGTGATGTGGTGGCGGAGTGTGTCCGCAGTCTGACCCACCATGTGAGCGGCGCGTGATCACAATGTTAAGTAGGGTGTGATCACCTGTGGTCTAGCCAACCAAAGACCACCTAATGGACATGGCTGGCCAGCATGTCCATGTGTTCCAGAACTTACCATCAGGGGAGCTTTCTGATTGGCTAAAGATTTTATATAGGGGACCGCACACCTTGGTGCGGGGTCCCCGGGCTCCGACTCTCGAGACAGACTGATCACCTGTCTTGGGGCCTAGTCAGACCCCTAGGTCACCAGCAGAAGCTGCTCTGGTTGCTCGAGCGCCATAGCTTACTGCCTCGCAAATCTGGAACGTCCTGTACTTTGTCCTAGCCAGACATTGTACTTGTATCGTACTTAGACTGCGGTCTTCACCCGTCACCCATCGCTTGTCCGTCATCTGTATTCCCTTGCTGTTGTATATAATTTATCATCTGTATCGTTCTCCAAGTCATATCACCCACCAAGTTATTTCGACCTACCGTTCGACTGTTGTGTAAGTAAACATCAAGCTTTATTTCACCCCCTCATTGTCTCCAATGTTTATCTCCCTCTCACACCTGGCATCCCCGAGTGTGTCTGGGTTGGTGTCACCACCCGGTGCCCCGCTCAGGATGCGACTGTGGCCGTTTTCCCACATACCTTATGGAGAACGCGCCCACATCAGGCAGGGTCCCCCCAGGACCTTCGATCACACAGGCCCTGGCCTCATCTCCAAGGCCAGTCGAGAACCCCAGGCCCTCAGCTTGGGGCATCCCTCACGGTGGGCCCCTGGCCCTTTTGACCGTTCTGGTCCTGGGGCCAGCATTGACCAGTCGAGGGTGTTTTAAGTCAGGTTTTTGAGCCCCTAGCCCACACCCTTACCTGGGTCGGCCTTCTTGGCCCTACTACAGGGTAACCCACCCAGTTGTGGGAGCTGGGGTTATTAAGGCGCCCAGACCCAACTTTCACCAGGGTGGTAACTGGCCTGGTATTTCCTGGAGGCTCCCGCACCACTGGGAGCACCACCAGGTCACCCACTCCCAGCACAGTGCAGTTTTAGGTCATTCCCAGGATCATGAGCCTCCAAAACACCCCCTACAGCTCCTGCCCTTACCTCCAGCATGTTGCATACTGCCTTGCAGCCAGGCAATGTTTGTGCCTGCTCTGCCAGCAGCGAACTGCTCTGATTATATAGGCGACCAGATATCTAAAATGCCACCGCAATCAAGTACCTGCTGGTTGCTTGGCTCAGCCCTTAAAGTGGCAGGCACCAACAGTGCCCTGCCACAGTGCCCCAGTGAGTTCAATATGACTCTACACAGGTACAAGGGTGTTTCCATAGGATTAAGGCCTGAATTATAGTTTTCCTCACTGGTAAAACCAGGGATGACAATCTAAAGAGATTTTATTTCCTTTAGATGGTATCAAAGTGTCCCTTAGCTTTTGGATGTAACTTCCCTACAGCACCATACCTAGTCTCCTGGCAGCCCTGGCCAACTTTTTAGTATTGGGCCCCCGTCCATCAGTAACAATGATAATAATAATTGGACCACAGGAAAAGAATTACCGTTTTTGGGCCCCCTTTCTCTCTGGGCCCCAGACGGCCACCCAGTTCGCCCATGTTTTTGTCTGGGTCTACTTCCCTGTGACAAGAGAGATAGGCCTTTCTCTGCCGCAAAATGGACAACTCTCAGCCATAACACTATTCACTTTAATGATGCCAATATGAGATACTTGCCAATCAAGCTTATAGTAGAACATGACCTCTAAAAACCAAAGTGTGTGAGAGAAATCAGAGCTTCTACCTTAGCTCAGGGAAGCTGATCAAAGGCAACTGACTTCCCAGTAAAGAAAACAGTGATATAGTTATATATAGCTTGGTTCTAGGTTGACGGATAACATTAACAAGGACTGGGTCTGTCTTTTAGGAAAGAAAAAATAAGGCAGTTTCTTTGGATAGTAAGTGGTTCCTCAGCTTCACAGCATTCCTCAACTTCTGTTGTTTGTTTTGCCTCAATTTGTTTGTTTACTCCTTCCATTTGTTAGGTCTGGACTTTATTGGGACAATAATGCCTTTTTATGTTATTTTTTTTTCTGTTAAATGACACCAGTAAGTGCTGGGCTCTCTTAGGAAGAAACATTTTTGTTTCTTTTTAAAATTTTATTTATGGAAGCAGGCCACTGGTGTTCCTGCACTGTATTTCAGTTTGAAAATAATGAATACACAATTATATTTTCTTATTCCTGACATGAGATGCATGCTAATATATGATTAAAATGTTTCTCCCTTAAATACTAAATTCCATAGTCCAGGGATTCTTTGTCCAGTTCAAAAGTATCTTTGATCTAGTTACCATTCTTAGTTGTCATTGTATGTGTCTGGTATTACAGAACACTGATATTTGCTTCGCTATTACAGCTGAAGATTAAATCTAATTTTTTCTAATTACCTCCACCCCCGACTTGTGTTAAAAAAAAAATTTTTTTGGAACTTTGTATGCCACATTTCAACAACGTTAGAATTGTTTTTTCTAGAAAAGTTTAGTAAACACTAGAAAACAAATGTTAAAGTTAAGTATATTCTGAAAATATATCTGCAAGTCAGCTAAGAAAAAAGGGGACATGGAGACATTTATTGTGACATAAAAATCTCAATTTTCATAATTTCATCAATTCATATAAAATTTATTAATTTGCATAATTTGCCTACTGTATATACATGTGCAAATTGAAGGGGCAAAAACTCAGTTTCGGTGGGTTGGGCATGAATGAGGCAGGATTATTTCACAGCAGAGAGCATGCTTTAGCTGTCTGTTTCCAGACATTCTAATATCAGGGGCTGGGAGGTGGGGGAGGCTATTGGTTGAATATAGAAATCTGTCAAGAAAATCTATTCTTGGGATGTAGGTCAACTATCTATTATAATGAAACGTTCTGTATATAGAAAACTTTGGTGCCTATGGTACAATTAATTTGCCTTCTACATGGCTGAAGAATTTAAGTAAAATCTTTCATAGGACAGATTCCATTAACATATACCTCATGTGTTACCTGTACCACAACTTTTGGGGAAATGCCCCTCAAGTTAATTATTGCCACCATTTAACTCTGTACCTTATTTCAAGTTTCAGTTTTTCTGGCCTCAGCTTTCAACCACCAGTCCTTGTTAGATCTTTGTTTGCCTGATCAAAATAAACCTCTGTATAAGATATCTGACACTGCAGTCTATATTTCATAAATTGAGAGACTTGTGTGCCTCTCATCGTAATTTTTTTTTCTAGTCCACTGACGATGTTAAGGGATTTCTCTTTTGGGAGGTTATATTATTAGAAAAATAAATTCCTTTTGCTCACAAAAAGGGGCAGGCAGAGAAAGAGGGAGAGAAAGAAAGAAGAAAAATCCATTTATTAAACAAATACCATTTTGTGCCACATGTGGTTTGGTCAAAGAAACATGGTTAGGAAAGTTGCACAGAATAAACAAACTGCCTTTCCTGTAATAAAATCTACACAAACTCTGTCATGGCAGTCAGTCATTTGCTAACTGATTTGAAAAAACAAAGCCGTTTTGGCGTTGACATTTCATGAGATGACTCTTGTGCTGTGTGGCCATTCTAATTCATTATCTGTAGGAAAAAACTGAGGTGAACAAGCAAATGGATAAGATAAAATGTTATTATTAAAACGATAACATCATCCTCATGGTTACTGTTTGCATTAGTTGCTATCTGTTAACATGTGTTTTCAAACTTCATTATATTTTTGTGTTTTTTAAATGTGGTCATCGTGCTCAATTTCTCCAACAAAATATTTTAAAGGGCTGCTTGGCAGTGCTGTTTTTATCATTATAAATCCTATTTCATTATGTTCAGATTATTATTCAGCAATCTTGGTTGCTGGGTATGGTGGTTTGTCTCTTAGCCAGACACTGAGGTTTTGTCTCTCTCCCATGAGAACAGCTGTTCTCATTTACTTTGAATGTTCTTGTATGTAATATGTGCTAAGTCTGCATGACTGAGATTTAAATCCATTTCTAGCGTAGGTGTTGTTTGAGTAAAAGATCTTAGGGACTAATAATCTTCCAAAGGAATTGGATTACCCCCAAATGGGTAAGAATATCATAGCATGGAAGTACATTAAATATTTTTAAAACAGTGAAAAGAAAGCAGGCTTCTATGACTGTGTAGAGATTGGCCCTAATCCTGTGAACACTTATGTATGTACTTAACTTGACTGCTGTGACCTGGCTCACTGAAGTCAATGAAACTACTGACAGGAGTTAAATGAAACAAATGCACAAGTCTTTGCAGGATGGGAGGCAGTCTCTAAGCAGTGATAAAAGGCACGTTTCTTCACATTTAATTTTAAACAAGGTTCAAATGGGGGAGGTTTGGGGGGGGCTGAGTCCCCCATAATAGAGAGCCCCCCCCCCCCAAAATAAGAGATGTAAGATTTGAAA